GACAGACAAGATGAAAGGAAATAACTACCAAAACAGAACACTTTACGTCAGGAAAGAGCACGCTGCGCACGAATTTTTATGAAATGTGGTTGAAATGAGTAATTTCCTGGGAAGACAGAATTTACAAAGACTGATCTCAGTAGAGACAAAAACTTAAAGATTCCAAGTTCCAGGGCGAAGGAAGAGAAATTCATCAGAGAACCCTCCAAAGCAAATCCCCAAGGTTTACTGCACGTGGAATCCACCGGAACTTCTGAGAGCAGAGGCAAGGGTGGAGTCGGGGCACCTGCCCATGGCCCTTGGGTCTGGCCCTGCCACGGCAACTGTGGGAAGAACTAAAACTAAAAAAGTTTTTTACTTTGATAACTTTCTATGGCTTGCAAAAGATGTTGTAATTTTTCAAATGACCCTTGGCAGAAAAAAAATTCTCCACCCCTGGCTAGGAGAAAAAATGTCCAGATTATGAGGTACCTGTAGGTTCCATCTGACAAAATATACCCAGAAATGGAAGCCAAACAGTGCTAAGTAACATACAAAACCAAACCCCTACTAAGCCATTAAAAATCACAGTCCAAAGAAATCTAACCCAGAAACACAAGGACCATTCAATAGCAGGATATTCAGTAATTAAGACATTATTAACTATGGAGAAAAACCACGCTCATCTCCACAGATAAGGCAAAGGCTTTCAAAATGCAGCATCAGTCTTTATGAAATCCCCAACGAGACAGGAATCAACACACTTGCTCTTTTTTCTCTAAAGGTTTATTTATTTTTATGTGAAAGGCAGATTTACCAAGAGGAAAGACAGAGAGAGAACGAGAGACAATCTTCCATCTGCTGGTTCACGCCTCCCAATGGCCACAACTGTTGGAGCTCAGCTGATCTGAAGTCAGGAACCAGGAGCTTCTGCTGGGTCTCCCACATGAGTGCAGAGTCCTAAGCACTTGGGCCATTCCTCCCTGCCCTCCCAGGCCATAAGGAAGGAGCTGGATCAGAAATGGAGCAGCTGGGACACGAAAAGGTGCCCACATGTGGAAGATTAGCCTGTTGAGCTGCACCACTAGCCCCAATTTACTTTCTATTCATGAAAAGAATATATACTTTAATCTAGGAAAGCACTGCTCCATTAATTTGCCAGAGGATAATGAAATCATTATTTACATTATGTTCACTTTAAGTACAGAAATAGTAAGCGTCTTTACTATGACCTGTCTCAGTCACTGAAATGTCTTTCAAACCACAAGGGCTTGTATGAGCTTCCCACTGAATGCAGTGAACACACTATGCCAGCCCAGCAGGACGCCCAGCTAAGTCTCCCGGGAGCTCAGGACTCTGGGTAAGTTTAAAAAGGCAGGCCAGTACCATGGAACAGTGGGTTAAGTCATCACTTGTGATGCCTCCATCCCACTTCAGAGTTCCAGTTCAAGTTCTAGCTACCCTGCTTCCAACGCAGCTTCTTGCTACACCCTGGGAGTCAGCAGGTGTAGCCCGTTCCTGGGATCCTGCTCACACAGAAGTCCTGGCTGGAGTTCCTGCCTCCTGGCTTCAGCCCTGACCCACCCCCAGCTGCTTGGCACGTGGGGAGTCAACTGGGGGACAGAGGCTGACCTCTTTTTCTGCTGCTATGCCTCTCAGATAAATAAAAATAAGCCTTAAACTTTTTTTTAAATGTACATCGAAACAGACAGACCTTTTATAAGATATGTAAGAATATCAAAATGCAAGGAAACACAGTACTAACCATCAGAAAGAGCACCCTCCTGCCGCCATGCCTGTTTTGTTTTTTTGTTCTGTTTTTTACTGTTCATGAGCACCATGAGTTTGTAAAACTTTTCAGGCAGGGAGAGAGCTCCCCAGCACCGGCACACTCCCCAGCTGCAGACAATGGCAGTAGGGGTGGTGGTGGTGGTGGTGTCGTATGTCACACACGTGCACGGGTGCACAGTGGGGGTGGGGAGGAGGAGGCGCTGCAGCTGGGAGGCAGGCACTCAGCGCAGGTCTCCCAGGCAGCTGTGCACACCCACTTACAGGAGACAACACTGTGGCTGGCTGGAGTCTACAGTAGCAGAGGGTGAAGTCAGGAGTCCCAGCCAGGAACCAGAGCCACGCATGGCCAAGAGGGCCAAGAGCATTTTGACCTCGAGGCTCAATTCAGCAGCACTTCCTTCAAGGGACACTGGGCAGTCCATCCCCAACGTGGGCTTTCTCAGCAAGGGCTTTTCAATGCAAAACTACCCTGTTTTAGCCATATTAAGATCACAGCAGCAGTTCATTAAGATCCTAAATGAGAACTTGCAATCAGCTACAAAATTCAGCTGCAGCTGCTCTTCTCTGGCACTGAATTAAATGGCAGTTCTCTTGGTAGCACCTCGACCACACGAGGCTCTTCAGCAAGGACTGTTTAGTTGACTACACAGCCATCGTGCAGCTGCAGGCAGTGCCCCCCGGGGCAGCAGGGCAGGGGCTTCTGCCAGGTCTGCAACTTCGGGCAGCTCTCTTCTCGTGGAGGACAGGGGACAGATGTCATGGGGAGAACAGGGCTCCCTCCTTAAGGTGCAGACAGGGTAGGAGCCCTGTGCTTTACACACCTGTGGAGGAAGTGATTACCCCTTTCTCACCAATACGCACACACGCCTTCATCTCACTTCATGAGCAGGAGAAACCAAGAGCCATGCAGCAGTACTGACTACAGTGCTGCCACAACACCTGGTGGGTGATGCCGATGCTTTGAGTCAGAAGGTGTGAGCTCACGTTGTCTCTAGTGAGGACACGGAGCAGGTGTGTGACTCCTGGACACCCTGCAACGGCCCCTGTCCTCCTGAAAGCGCTAACAGGTCACCAGAAGGTCTCGGGCTGGTGTGTTAACTCTGTGCTATATCAACTCAACAGTCTGACAACGATGATGGACGGTCCTTTAAACATAGGGGAACACAGAGACCTTTAGGACCACAGATGCTTCAGTCCTTAGCAAAGGGAAGAGGGGCCGGGGTAGCCAGACAGGTGCAGGTGCTAAGTGTCTTCAAAAGACGTAAACCTCAGACTTCCCACTGTAATCCTCAGAGAAACTACGCCAGCTTTTTCTTCCAACTACAGACAATTCCATGACGGTATTAAAGCTCACGGAGCTTGGAGCCTTCTTCCGTAAAGCCTCCCGGAGCAGAGGACGTCGAGAAGCAAGGCCCCCACGCAAACACCACGAGCAGGGCACTTTAACTGGCCAAAGCACTCCATGAGCATCTGATTCCATCGAAAGGCCAGTCCCGGCCAAAAGGCCTTGCTCACAAATCCTGGAAAAGCCATTTACTTGGTCCAGCCGGCTGCCTCCTTGGTGGGAATCAGAGTGTACACACTGATCACCAGTCCAAACGTTCCACAAGCAAAATCACCAAGCCCTCACAGACTGAGGTGCAGTACTGTCCTTTCCGTTAATGTCTTTCATTCGAGAGGCAGGGTGACACACAGATGGATGGGACGATGAGTCCCGTTCAACGGCCCACTCCTCCAGGAGCTAGGGACCCAGCGCTGGTGTCCCATGGGGGTGGTAGGAACCCGCCCACGGAGCCATGGAGCCCTGGAGGGGTCTGCAGCCCCTGGAAGAGGAGTCAGGAGCCACAGCAGGAGGCCAGGTCCTCCAATGTGGGACACAGACCTCTGGAATCACTAGGCTACCCGCTCACTCCTATCCCTTCATGGCAGAGGCAACCTCCACAGCTAGTCCCATGTCCTGGGGCTGGGATAATGAACTGGGTTAGCCTGCAGGTTAGTCTTTCCAGCAAACTAAGAGTGGGTGGGAAGATGCCAGTCTTCTTGGGCTGGCACTGTGGCTCAATGGGTTAGGCTGTAGCCCAGGATGCTGGTAACCCACAGCGGAGGCCCAGCTGAGCCAGGCCTGGGAGAGCACAACATAGCCCACTGCATGGCCCCTGTCATTCATGTTAGATACCCCCAAGAACTTGCTGGCCTCACCCAGGCAACAACCTCCGGGTTGTGAATCAGCTGATAAAAGATCTTCAGCTCTGCCTTTCCAATTATTAAATAAAAACCCTCGTGCACAGCAGGAAACCTACCCCAAAGTACACCCAGATGAAATTCATGTGAGCAACATCATTTGTAGTCCAAGAACACAGCCAGGAACTCATACCCGTGTTTTTTAGAATACGAGTCCAGGAAAATTGCATTAATAAGGCAGCATGGCATGTACGCGGACAAAGTCAGCTCTGAGGGACAGGCACACCTCTTCCAAAAGGGGGAAAAAAAAAACCACAAAATGCACTCGCAAAATCGCTGCCTCTCCCGACGGAAATAGCTGAATCATTCAGATCAACAGCCCAGAATTCTTCCAGGGCTGTTGCACAGGCTCTGCCTCAGAGATCCGAGTGGAAAGCCTGCCCTAGGAGGGCGCGTGAGCTATATGCCTTTAACAACTGGCCTGGCTAGAAAGCAACCCCTGTTCGAGGAAAAATTCTATGCCAGTAACACGCATTTCTTCACCCAGACAGTACCCGACTAAGTCCACCTCGACTGGGCGCGCCGCCAGCCTGCACCTCCGGCCCAGGGCGAGGTTCTCCAGCCGCCGGAGCCCCCCACCGCACCCCGGGCACGGGAGTCCGGGACCAGCCGGGCTCTCCACGACCGCGGGGACCCAGCACCAAAGGTGGACCCCCGGGGCAAAGGGGCTGAAGGCTACCCTCTTGAGCGTGTGGAAATCCTGAGATGGCACGAAAAGGAGCGTGTCCTGGGGACCCCCCCCCCCAGAGCGCCCTGGGCGTTCGGAGGAGTCCCCCGGGGTGGAGAAGCAAGCCACTGGAGGCTCTGGAGGGCGCGTTCTTGGAACCCCACAGGCTCCAGAGGCAGTGTGGGGCGCTGAGGTCGCCAAGCGCGCTCTAGGAGACCCCCCGAGGTCCGTGGGGCCCCCGGAGTGGGGGAGGGGGAGCAACCAGAGACGGAGGGGAGGCAGACAGGGGACCCCCTTAGGATACGCAAGGTCCGGCGCTCACCCAAACAGGCCCCGGAGGAAGGAGTGGGAGGCCTTGACTCGCTTCTCGGCCTCCGCCATCAGCTGCACAGCCTCTCGCTCTTTCCCCGCACTGTCCATGTCTGCCAAGATACCCGCGCCGTTCGCCGCCGCCTACACAGCCTTACTCCGCCGAGCTAACGACGCGCCGGGAATCCTCCGTCTTCCCTCGCGTGCGGACCGCGGGCGCGGCGCACGGAGGCTATCGGGAGTTGTAGTTCTTGGCCTACGGCGGCGGCGGGAGCCCTCTCGCCAGGAAAACTACAATTCCCAGAAAGTCACAAAGGGGCCCGGCAGGTAAGGGACCTTTCTTGCAGATCCTTGACTCCTGGGGCTCCGAAGCTGGAGGCGTGATCCCTGGGGAAGGGTCTTGGGCCCGGGGGAGCGGAGGATGCGGTTTAAGTGTGCGGAAAAGGAAAAACTGGTCGATGGCTCCCAGGAAGGAGTCATTGAGAATACACAGCGTGAGGAGTCCCTGCTCCACACGATTACCAAGGAAATGGGATAGACAGAGGTGCAGAGATAAGGGATGGGAGCTCTCCAGCAGGCAGATTCTGCAGCAGGCTGCAGACTGCACCAGCCGAAAGGGATCGCATCCATGTGTGATGCCCCATCCAGCGACAAAACGAGCCATTTTCCCCCCAAGAGTAAAGTGTTTAAGAATGAATAGTCTTCCCCCATAGTCAGCCAGTTAAAAAAAAAACTTAAAAAAATTATTACTGGGCCTGGTGCGATAGCTTAGTGGTTAAAGTCCATGCCTTGAACACACCGGGATCCCATATGGGCGCTGGTTCGTATCCCAGCAGCCCCGCTTCCCATACAGCTCCCTGCCTGTGGCCTGGGAAAGCAGTTGAGGATGGCCCAAAGTCTTGGGACCCTGCACCCACGTGGGAGACCGGGTAGAAGCTCCTGGCTTCGGATTGGCTCAGCTCCAGCTGTTGCGGCTGCTTGGGGAGTGAACCATCGAACAGAAAATCTTCCTCTCTGTCTCTCCTCCTGTCTGTATATCTGCCTTTCCAATAAAAAAATAAATAAATCTTTTTTAAAAATAAAATTATTATTGATTTTTATTGAAAAGAAACATCTAGAGTCAGAGAGAACGATCTTCCATCGACTGGTTCCATCCAGTGGTTACTTCCATTTATATCCCCAAGTGGCAGTAATGGCCGGGGTAAGTGGATCCAAGGCCAGGAGCCAAGAGTTTCTTCCAGGTCTCCCACGTGGTGCAGGGCCCCAAAACCATCTTCAACTGCTTTCCTAGGCCACAAGCAGGGAGCTGGATGGGAAGCAGGGAGCTGGGATTAGAACCGTTACCCACATGGGATCCCAGCAGAAAAGGCCCTATTTTAAAAACATTTTTTTAAATATATATTTATTTCCACTTGAAAGGTAAAGTTACATAGAGAGGGGAAAGATCTTTTACCAGGTGATTCACTCCCCAAATTGCCACAACAGGCTGGGGCTGGATCAGTCTGGAGCCAGAAGCTTCTTCCAGATCTCCTATGTGGGTTCAGGGACCCAAGCACTTGGTCCATCCTCCACTTGCTTTCCCAGGCACGTTAGCAGGCAGCTGCATCAGAAATGCAGCAGCTGCGTTGCTGGAGCCACAGGCAGAGGCTTAGCTTGCTATGCCGCCAAACTGGGTTATTTTTAAGTCTCCCAGAACTGGAACTTTCTCTTGGTCCTTTCTTCCTGGGTTATAATAAAATGAGCTTGCCTCTGTGATGTGTGATTCACTCTCCATATAGACTAAACTCCATTGAAGCAAATTTCATCCATTGAGCTAGCTCCCGTTTTGCATAATGTCAGCACTCCCAAGACAAAAGCCTGGGCTGCCAGGAAGATTTTGAATCTCCTCAGAGATGTATCCATAGACAGCTGCCATGGAAGGCCAGTGCCTTCCAGGCACGTCCTAGAGGGAGATACTTATTAAAGCGATGTCTGGACCATCAATTCTTGGCAGTGCTGAAGCAGTAGTGACGAAGCAAATAGGAGAACCTGCCAAATAGAATTTTTCACAGTTTTGAACTCTGAAGGACACTGTGAGCTCTGGCAAGCCACACTGACCTAAGGAAACAAAGTCTGTCTTTACAGAACAAGACAAGAGGGGCCAAAATCCTGGAAAGAAAGTTCACAAAAGCATGTCACCAAGTTCCAACGCTGCCAGGTCTCCTAGAAAAAGGAGACTCCAATTGCTCCTGCAGGGTGCCTTACTCTCACCCTGATGAGCACATTGCGTGCTTGGAATGACATGGGGTAGGAGGGCGGAAGTGAATTCAGGAGTGAAGGGAGAGAGAGCAGGAAGTGGATTGGAAAATCTGAGCAATGAGCAGGGGCAGCTCTCCACTCCTGAGTGTGTCACAGTGTCGATGCAAGCCAGGGCTCAGCCTGGCTCAGCACAGACGCTGAGGAAATGATGCACGAGGCATTCTGCACCTTGGGAATCTGTGTTTCCTGGGAGTGGGGGCTAGAGGGGGGCATGCTTGTGTAAGAACTGCACGTCTGTTCTGCCGTGCACAGTTTGAGATCCCTGAGTGTGCAAGCAGTGAAAGCAAGCTGGAACGGACCGACTCCTCTGAACAAGGACTTGCAGCAGGTGGCACAATCTGTGGTGGTATCCTCACTTGCTTCTCATTCTTGCCCTTGTTCCCTTCTTTCTTAAAGGAAAGGGGTGAGCATGCCCACCCCACCTACCTCATGCCCGAAGGGGAGGACAGTGCCCCATCTTCACTGTTGTGGAAGGCAAGTGTTTTCTTCTCAGACTGAGCAAAAGAAGGAGAAGGGCAGATAGACAACCTCATAGTTGGGAATTGGGGTGTAAGTGACATACACATGGCTCAGGTATGGGGCAAGCTAGGCTGGACCAGTTCACAACACCCATTGGCAGATCTGAGAACCAGGATGAGGTGCTGGACAGGCTAGGTCTGACCGCATTACCAGCCAGTTCACATTAGGGCCATTACTGGGGGCTGACTGTGCCAGGTTGGGTGGCAGCTCCAACCAGTGTGACCTGGAATGGGGGGCAGACCGAGCCAGGCCAGGCTACAGCACCTGCCAGCAAATGCTGAGGTGAGATGGGTCACACCACCCACCAGCACACATAAGACTGGGACAGGGGGGTGAGCCTGGTAGGAAAGTAATGGTAACTCCACTGCTAGGTCATCACTCATGCTAACAAACATGAGAGCTGACTGGGGACAGACAAGGTTGGGCAGGGCTACAACACCTGTTGGCCTACATGTGAGCTGACTAGGGGAAGAGCCAGGCTGTGGAAGCCGATTGTTTCACAGGTACAGGTGGGAGCCAAAATAAGGGCAGATGGGTTAGGCTTTGCCACAGCATCAGCTGACAAAATGCTGGGGCTAGGGGCTAGGTCCTGTCAAGTTAGCCCACAGAATCACCTGGAGAGTGCAAGATCCAGGGTGGGGAGTGGGTCCAGTGGGGAGGTTGTGAGCTCCTCTCTAATAGGCTGCAAGTCCCACTGGTAAGCATGGAGAACCAGGACTAGGGGCTGGCCTGACTGGACAGGTAGTGACACTTTGCTGGCATGAGTTGTGCTGGAAGGTGGAGTTTGTTGGATTGAGTTAGGCTTCAATGTCCAATGATATATACAAGATCTCAATGGGATACGGTGCAGACCAGACCAGTCCACTACACATGCTGGCAGGCATAGGAACCAGAGATGGGGGGTCCAGTGGGTATTATTGAGGGTCACTCTGATTGAGCTGCAGCTGCCCCTGTGGTACATGAGGGTTGAGTGTGTGTTGGGCAGGGTTAGGTTGGGCCACAGCACCCATTGGTTTACTGAAGATGGAGGGCAGAACAAATTGATCAATTACCCCAGTGAAGTTTGACAGCAAAATTCTGAGCCAATGGAGACACAGAGGTGGACTGTGATAACCAATTGGCCTTGGAAGGATTTCCTCATCCTTGGAGCAGCACTATCAGCAGCATCTCAGAACTATCAAAAACACATGAACAGAATCCTCAGAAAATGCTCCAAGATGAGGAACCTGGGATGACACTGGATCCGAAGTGGAGCAGCTGGGACTCAAACAGGTGCTCCTATGGGATCCCATGCTACAGGCACCAGCTTTACTTGCTATACCACAGCACTGGCCCCTGCTGACATTATTCTAAAAAGCTAAGACCTAGACATAGGTGATAACATTGAGTATATAAATTCATGAGACATAAATATTACAAATAGAAATATTTACAGCATATAGGTAAGATTAAAATAAATATGACATCAAAAATGCATCTGAGGAAGTATATATCATCCATGTTTTTCATAAATGTGATCCTCATTAGTTGATAGGAAAGTCTATAAACATGTTTTGAAATTAACTCAATGCTTTAATTATGGCAAGGGGCAAGAAACCAAGGTTTTATTTATAGGGTAAATTCCAAGGTCTTTCTCATCTATGATTAATGTAGGTCTTCTCAAAGTTACTGTTCTGAGAGCTGCAGGCACAGCTGCTGGAAGGGAATTGTGGCAAGTATTTTTTTTCCTGCATGCCTTTTGATTTCATCTTCATTATTATTTAATGATACATTAACAGAAAGTATTGGAAAAAGCATTCACCCACAGATCTGTGTACCTAATGAGACTGCTTTCATTTATGTGTGTATATTCCTCCCTAATCATCTAGTAAGCTCAAATATGTTTGCTGCACTTTATATTTTTATTTTATGCAACATGTTTTCTATATTACTATGAGTCTTCATAATTAATAGTGAATGGTGGTGGTCAAGTGCACAGAATTTGACGTAACTCCCATGTGGCATGTCTGTACCAAACGTGGCTGCCCCGGAAATATTCAAGTCTGTCCTGAAAAGCGACTGTCTTCCAGTCCCTGGATTACACTGCTCAGGTTGCTTAGATGTGCTACAGTGGGGATAATAATTAGGCTTCACAACCCATTGTGCATTGTAGTAACCAGCACTGCACACACAGCCAACTGTGGTGGAAGGCTTGGGTGGGCATTTGGCACAGCAGGGGCGAGCAGCGACACCTATGTCTTGTGGAAGAATACCTATGTTCAAGTCCCAGTTCTGCTTCCTTTTTTTTTCTTCTAAAGATTTATTCATTTATTCAAAAGGCAGAAGTACAGAGGAGAGAGGGACACACACACAGATTTTCACAGAGGGAC